AGTGTGTGTGTGTGTGTCTGTTCGTGTAGTTTACCCCGTTCAGCTCCGACGACGGAGAGCAGCCTTTGTCGGCCTTTCTTACACACCGTCTGCGCTGTATCGAAGGGCTTCGGTCGACAACCACACGTTCACGCTAACACGCTCGGAGACGATCGAAACGGAACAAGACGTAGACTTTCGGAGCTCCGCGCGGATTTCTTGGATCGGGGTTAAGGCGCCCCCCGCTCCGGCGCGCATGGCGCGTCTGCGCCGCCAGGGGGGCTCCCGCGCCGAGCCAAGAAACCGAGCGGACCTCCGACAGTTGATATGTCTATCCAGTTCCTGTTCCTTGCAGGCTGTTCCGGGAGCAGAACTCGTCCTCCGCCGAGCTGTTCGACCTCACCACCCTGGCCGACCTGCCGGTGGACCACTCGCACTCGCGGGCCTTCCGCACCACGCCGTCGCTGGCGTCCCCGATCGCCTCGCTCTGCTTCCGCCTCGCGAAGGTCGAACAAAGAAAGGAAAGGTGGAGGAGAAGACGAAGGAGGAAGGAGGAGGAGAAGGCGGAGGAGGCGGAGGAGGAGGAGGATGAGGAGGAGGAGGAGGAAAAGGAGGAGGAGAAGGCGGAGGAGGAGGAGGCGGAGGCGGAGGAGGAGGATGAGAATGAGGAGGAAGATCGAGGAAGAGCAGCGTGCATTGACATAAACTTTCGGAGTCCCGGGCGGATCTCCTGGAACGGCGCTGCGGGGCCCCCTAATTGGCGGCGCCTCTGGCGCCAGCCCCTGGCGCACTGGGAGGCCCAGTCTTAAGCCGGAGCTCCGCGCCGATCTCTTGCCTCTGCTCTGGGCCCCCCTAATTAGGCGGCACCTCCAGCGCCGCCCCGAGGCGCGCTCTGCGCGCCTGAGGGGTGGGCCTCCGCGCCGGTCCAAGGAGTACCCTCGGAGCTCCCAACGTCGCAAGGGCCGCCACGAGGGCGGGGAGTTGTTCGCTGTTCGCGATTGTCGGGCCAGACGAAAGGGGGGGATTGGGAAAGGGGGGGCTACGAAATTTGCTGCATGCAGCCGGTTTCGGCCTCACCGAGGGGCCCATTCCTCGATACATAGCCGCCTCCGGCGCCGGGAGGCGCCGGGAAAATCAGCTACGTGAGCTGATTCTCAAACCCCCCCTTTGCGATCCTCCCCTTTCGCCCGACCCGAGATTGGCGATTCGCGACTCCTCATCCTCGTCTTTTTCTCCCCCGGGGGGGGGGGGCGGGGCCGCACCGCGAGGCTACAGATTCGCGCGCAGCGTGAGCATAGCTGCCCTTGGTCGGTTTCTGTTTATGCCGCTTTCCCCCTGGGTGCCCAGCGCCGATGTGAGAAGACTGCGCGGATCTCCTGGATCTTATGTGTGTTTTTGACTTTCTGGTTTAATTCCCATATCCTGAAACTGACTAGTGTTGACCCCCCCAGTGCACCCTGTGTTTTTTTCCATCGAAGTGCTCCCCCCGAGGCTCGCACCCTTTCTTTCACAAGGGGAAGAAAGTCTTGCGGTTCAGATTGAACAGCAACAATTACAACAACAACAGCAACAACAGCAACAACAACAACACCACCACCACCAACAACAACAACAACAACAACAGCAATCACTTTACCCGAACGCTCAGTGTTCTCACCAGTGCCAGGGTTTTCATGCGACGCCAGCCAATACCCCCACTTTGTGGGGGGGCAGTGCAAGCTCTACCAAATATCCACACGACTCTTCGCCACCACCCACACCCAGCTTCCCGCCCTATGACGTTCGGACACTTCACTTCGTGGCCTGCGGACGACCGTGGCTACTACACTGGCGTGGAGTACACACCCACAGAAGTTGTTAAGCCTACGTTCGTACACCCACAGAAGTTGTTAAGCCTTGTTAACCCACAGAAGTTGTTAAGCCTTCCACAGAACATCTGTTGCATATGATGCATATGGTACATGATACACATGATACACATGATACGTACTCACAAGATAGTTGATCACATCTTTAGGGCAAATTCCTGAGGGATGTGGGAATACACAAGAGAGAGAGGATATGGTTGTCCCGATGGTTGTCTCGATGGTTGTCCCGATGGTTGTCCTGATGGTTGTGGTTGTCCCGATCGTTGTCCCGATGATTGTCCCGATGGTTGTCCTGATGGTTGTGCTTGTCCCGATCGTTGTCCCGATGACTGTCCCGATGATTGTCCCGATGGTTGTCCCGATGGTTGTTCCGATGGTTGTCCCGATGGTTGTCCCGATGGTTGTCCCGATGGGTTGGAGATTTCGGCGTGCGCGCGCGAAGAAAAAACGAATGTGTCCCGCATGGTATTATTTGACAGGGATGATGGCCCTGGCAGGTGCGCAACCGTTGTCGCAGAAGTTCGAAAAAGTTGCTCGCAAAAGCCCGTTTGACAGAAATGTTTAAAAAGTGTTGGGTTTCCTACGAATCCGCAAGAGCGCGCGGGATGAGATTTTGACATTTTTTTGTTGAAAAACCATTGGTTTTTTGATGTTTTTATGTTAAAATCGCTCCGAACACTAAGCTTTTGGAAGGATTTCGTCTTGCGCGCGCGAATGTCCACTTTACCTTATTTTTTGCAAGGGATTCTTGAAATTTGATTATATTAGAACAAGAAATGTCATTTTATAGTGTTTTTTGCAAGGGAAAACGGATTACAACAAAACAACCGGATCTGGATCACATCGTTTTACCTGAGGCTTCCTCACGAAAATGATGAAAATGTAGCTGCGGCCTAGGCGGCGCAGGGGGGGCGCGCACCAGGGGGCCCAACAATAATTATTCTTTAGAATTAATAATGTTCAACAACAACAACCAACAACACCAACAACAACAACAACAACAACAACTGTTCCCGCCTTCTATTTCCTCACGACCTATTTCCAAACCGCGCTCTCGCGCGGGACGTCCGCACACCGTGTGCAGACATCGCGCTCTCGCGTGGCCCTCCCTCGCAATGCGCTGCGGCGCCGCGCCCCGAGCCGCAGGCGTCGCGCTCTCGCTCTGGCTTCTCCAACGACTGCATCGCAGAGCGCGCGCCAACGCTCGACGCGCCCCTGCGAGTCGTGCTGGATGGCCGCTGGAGCGGCCCGCCCGCTCGCTTCCCGCCGCCCGGGCCGGGCCCGCCCGACCTGCCCGACGTCGGGTCCGCCCGCGCCCCTCACCCGCCCGTCCGGTGCTGCCGCCTGCAGCGCCGCTCCTGGCCCCCCCCCTCTCTCTCGTGCTCCACCCTTCTCCTCCCTTTCGCAAGCCTAGAGGTTACCACCAACACCAAGATCGGCGGTGTGCCTCCACCGAAGAGCGACGATCCCGATCTCGGTGATGGTGGTAATATTCTGGCTTCCAAGGCGACCGAGATATTACCACCAACGCCGTAATCTAGGAGCATCTTCCCCATGTGGAGGCAGCCCCCCTGTGTTGGTGCTGGTGCCCATTTCCAGGCCTCCAACCTTTGTCTCTTCCCGCCTCCCTTCCCCTATGTCGTGGGCTGCGCCAGTTGCACGCGGGTTGGCAAGGAAGCTGGGCCCCCCAAAAAAGGGGGAACGGTCGGAAACGCAGAGGGCGGACACCGAGGGTCGGGGAGAAACACTTGCGGAGTGGCGCGCGAGCCAAGAAGAAGGAGCGGCATTGCAATACTTGTCGCTGTTGTTGCTGGTATTATTATTATTGTTGTTGCTGCTTCCGCTGTGATTGAAGTCTCATTTCTAGAGTACAAATGTTGTTGATTCCCCCCTCCGGTATCATTCGCCACATCCTAAGTGGGGCTCTTGTTGCTTTCGGCGCCCCCGCCTGATATTTTCTTTGTAGTGTACTTCCAAGTCGCGCTCTCGCGCGGGAGTCCCTCACAATGTGTCGCGCACTCGCGCCTTGCAATTTATGCAGACGCCGCGCCCTCGACACTCAGGAATCACGCTCTCGTTTTTGCCTTTCTCGCGATGTACTTGGGAATCGCGCAATCGCTCAAGCCCTCCTCGCGAGTCATGCAGTACTCACGCTTCAGCAACACGCCTTCTTGACCTGGCCGCTTGGGCTCGGCTTCCCGACCCGCCCGTTAGGATCTACCCGCCCGATGGGCCCGTCTGGTTCTGCCACGTGTTTTCTGCTTCTAGCCCGCCTCCTGCTAATCCCGAGCTCCATCCTTCTCCCTCCCCCTCCCGTCCTTCCGCTCTTCCCCTGTTTCAGGGGCTGCGCCAATTACACGCGGCAGGTAAGGAAGATATACCCCCAGGGGGTACGATCAGAGACGAAGAGGGCGGGTACCGAGTGTTTGGGGTAAACGTGTTGCATGGCACGCGAGCAGATGGGAGCGAACAGTATTAAACGGATTGCTGTTGTTGCTCTTGTTGCTGCTGCTATGATTGTGTTTGTTGTTGTTGCTGTTCCTGATGCCGTTGCTGTTGATGTTGCCGTTGCTCGTGTTGCTGCTGTTGTAGTATTTGTGATTGCTGTTGTTGTGTTTGATGTGGCTGCTGCTGATGTTGCTGTTGTAGTTGTTGTTGCTGTTGTTGCTGCTGTTGTAGTTGTTGTTGCTGTTGTTGTTGTTGTGATTGTTGTTGGTGTTGTCGTTGTTGTCGTTGTTGTCGTTGTTGTCGTTGTTGTTGTTGTTGTTGTTGTTGTTGTTGTTGTTGTTGAATTGCCATGTCTGAAGAATAAGTATGGTTGTTCCCCCCCATTTGTGCATATTGTTTTTTCTAAATCAAACTGTGCCCCTCGACGCTCGCACACGGTTTTTTGACAGGGGAAGTCTTGATGCTCAAACTGTGCCCCTGGCCCCCGGTTTACAAACACAACGACTCTCGCTTACAATTTAGCCAGGACCCCCGCTCCCGCCCGAGACTTCCACGCATGTTATTCAGGAATCGCGCTCTCGCTTGGGACTTCCTTACAATGTATTCAGGAATCGCTCTCCCAGCGCTCTGGAGTCGCGCTCTCGCTGGAGACTTGCTCACAATTTACTGAAGAATACCGCCCTTGCGTTGGATTTTTGCAATTTACTCAAGCGCCGCGCTCCCGACACCCAGGCACCCAGGAGTCGCGCTCACGCTTAGGACCCCCTCACAGATTACCTAGGAATCGGGAACTTGCTGCCCTTCGTGGCCCAGTTGCAGCCCTTCGTGGCCCCCTCGCTTTGTTTCGTGGCCCCGTTGCAGCCTTTCGTGGCCCCCATTGCTTTATTTCGTGGCCCAGTTGCAGCCCTTCGTGGCCTCCTCGCTGCCCTTCGTGGCCCCGTTGCAGCCCTTCGTGGCCCCCTTGCTTTGTTTCGTGGCACCGTTGCAGCCCTTCGTGGCCTCCTCGCTGCCCTTCGTGGCCCCGTTGCAGCCTTTCGTGGCCCCGTTGCAGCCCTTCGTGGCCCCCTCGCTTTGTTTCGTGGCCCCGTTGCAGCCCTTCGTTGCCCCCTCGCTGCCCTTCGTGGTCCCATATATGTATGCCCTTCGTGGCCCCCGCTCGTTCGCGCCCGTGGTGGCCCCATATGTCCCCGCTGTCGCCCTTCGTGGCCTACTTCGTGTCCTTCGTGGCCCTGCTGTCGTTCTCTCTCGCTCTCGCTTTCGCTCGTCGTCGTCGTCGTCGTCGCCGTCGTCGTCGTCGCCGTCGTCGTCGACAACGTCGCCGTCGTCATCGTCGTCGTCGTCGTCGTCGTGGTCGGTCCCCTGTCCGTCCCTCTTGGGGTCTGGTCGACGGTCCGCGGCCGCCCCCCCGCTTGCCAGGGCCCGGCCTGCAAGAAAGAAAGGTATACCCCCCAAAAGGGGTACGATCGAAGACGAAGAGGGCGGGTATCGAGGGTTTGAGAAATACGTGTTGTTGGACACTCGAGTAGATAAGGGCGTACAGTCTTGCAATGATTGTTGTTGTTGTTGGTGTTGTTGCTGTTGTTGTTGCTGTTGTTATTGTTGTTGAATTTTCATTCCTGAAGAATAATTATTGTTCTTCCCCCCCACCCGGTGCACATTGCATTTTTCAATTGAAGTGCCCCTCCCGGGGCTCGCACCCTGTTTTTATCAGGGGAAGTCTTGCGGCTCAATTTGTGTCGCTGGCCCCCGGTTTACAACAACAACGGCTCCCACCTGATACTTCCTCACAAATGTATTGAAGAATGGCGCTCTCGCCCGGGACTTCCTCGCAATTTATTCCGGAATCGCTCTCTCGACGCTCTGGAGTTGCGCTCTCGCTGGAAACAAACTTGCTTGCAGCTTACTCAAGAAAGCGCCCGTGCGTTGGAATTTTCCGCCGCGCTCCCGACACTCAGGCACCCAGGAGTCGCGCTCATGCTCAGGACTCCCTCGCAGATTATTTAGGAATCGAGATCTTGCTGCCCTTCGTGGCCCCGTTGCAGCCCTTCGTGGCCTCCTCGCTGCCCTTCGTGGCCCCCTCGCAGCCTTTCGTGGCCCCCTCGCTGCCCTTCGTGGCCCCGTTGCAGCCCTTCGTGGCCCCCTCGCTTTGTTTCATGGCCCCGTTGCAGCCTTTCGTGGGCCCCTCGCTGTCCCTCATGGCTCCGTTGCAGCTCCTCGTGGCCCCCTCGCTGCCCTTCGTGGCCCCGTTGCGCTCCGTCGTGGCCCCTTCGCTGCCTTTCGTGGCCCCGTTGCAGCCCTTCGTGACCCCCTCGCTACCCTTCGTGGCCCCGTTGCAGCCCCTCGTGGCCCCCTCGCTGCCATTCGTGGCCCCTTTGCAGCCCTTCGTGGCCCCCTCGCTGCCATTCGTGGCCCCGTTGCAGCCCTTCGTGGCCCCCTCGCTGCCATTCGTGGCCCCATATATGTATGCCCTTCGTGCCCCCCGCTCGTTCGCACCCGTCGTGGCCACATATGCATGCCCTTCGTGGCCCCGCTGCCGCCCTTCGTGGCCACCTCGTTGCCCTTCGTGGCCCCGTTGCTGCCCTCAGTGGCCCCGTCCTTGCCCCCCGCGGCCCAATATACGTATGACCTTCGTCGCCCCCGCTCGTTCGCGCCCGTCGTGGCCCCATGTGCATACCCTTCGTGGCCCTGCTGTTGCCCTTTGTGGCTTCCTCGTTGTCCTACGTGGCCCAGTTGCTACCCTCAGTGGCCCCGTCGTTGCCTCCTGTGGCCCCGCATTATCTGCCCTTCGTGGCCCCCGCTCGTTCGCGCTCTCCGTGGCCCCCTACGCATTCCCTTCCGTGTCCCCGCTGTCGCCCTTCGTGGCCTACTTCGTGCCCTTCGTGGCCCTGCTGTCGATCTCTCGCTCTCGCTTTCGCTTTCGCTCGTCGTCGTCGTCGTCGTCGTCGTTGTCGTCGACGTCGTCGTCGTCTCCGTCGTCTTCGTCGTCGTCGTCGTGGTCGGTCCCCTGTCCGTCCCTCTTGGGGTCGGGTTGCCGCCGATCAGCGCTGCCGCTGGCCAGGCCGACGGTCCGCGGCCGCCCCGCCGCTTGCCAGGGTCCGGCCTGCAGGGAAGAAAGGTATACCCCCCAAAAGGGGTTCGATCGAAGACGAAGAGGGCGGGTATCGAGGGTTTGGGAAATACGCGTTATTGGACACTCGAGCAGATAAGAGCGCACAGTCTTGAAATGATTGCTGTTGTTGTTGGTGGTGGTAGTGGTGGTGTTGTTGCTGTTGTTGTCGCTGCTGTTGTTGCTGCTGTGTTTGCTGTTGATGATGACGGCGGCGGGGCGAGCGCCCCCGGTGCACGCGGGGGGGGGGGGGCGGGGGGGGAGCAACGGAGCAACGGAACCTTGCTTGTGGGGACTGTGGGGCCTGCGGGTCTGCGGGGCCTGCGTGTGGCCTGCGGGGCTGGCTGCGGGGCCCGTGGGGCTGTGGGGCGCGTGGGGCCTGATATGGGCCCGACCGTGAGGCCTTTGCGGCTTCCAGGAGCAATTCTATTATTTGCGTGCCCCGCGGAAGGGGGAGCGTGCGGGGTGAGGAAGGGGAAAGTGAGGGTGAGGAGGAATCAGACACCATCTCGTATCAAACATCACTTCGCGGCGCAATCATGTCGCACCACATCCCATAATATTTCGTACCAAACATCATACCAAAGACAACTCCCACCCCTCCGCCCTTCCCACCCGTCCCACCCCTCCCACCCCTCCCACCCCTCCCACCCCTCCCGACCCTCCCACCCCTCCCTCCCCTCCCGCCCGTCCCACCCCTCCCACCCTCCACCACCTCCACCTCTCCAACCACTCCGACACCATCGTTGTTGCGCTGTTTTGTCGTTGTCCCCCCCCCCCGCCACCAGGGGACCGGGGTGCAGTGCCGGTCTTCATTCCAGTGGTGAGGGCGCGGCAGGCGTCCCCAGACCTGGGGGCGCTATGCCAGCCTATGCCTTTTTGTTGTTGTTGTTGTTGTTGGTGGTGGTGGTGGTGGTGTTGTCAGAGTCTCATATCTAAAGAGTAATCAATGTTGATCCCCCCTGGTTCGCCTAGAGCCTTCTCCCAATATGGGCGTCTTGGAGGAGTTGTCTTACGACGTTGGTTCGCACAAGTGAGGCAATCCTTTTGTTATATCCTTACAGTATGGGGATGTTGGAGACCTGGCGTCGGATAGCCAACATGGTGTGGGGGGAGCGTTTCGCCTGAGACATATGCACAGCTTGGGGATTTTGGAGGAGTTGTTGTACGGCGTTGGTTTTACGAAGGAAACATCCCCAGGAAATGGGATGTTGGATCTCAGACGTCGGGTATCCAACAGTGTGTAGGGGAGGGGACGTTTTGCTTGAGACATCCTCACATTATGGGGATGTTAGGGTAGTTATTTTGCGACATCTGTTTTCAAACATGGAGCTCTCGCATGAGACGTCCTACGAACATTGGGATGTGAGACATCCGTCGTCGGATATCGAACATGGTGTGGGGGGATGTGTTTTGCTTTAGACGTGTTCACAGTATGGGGATGTTGGATGAGTTGTTTTCCGACGATCACCACACCAATGAGATGTTGGATATCAGACGTCGGGTATCCAACATGGTGAGGGGGAGGGGGCGTTTCGCGTAAGACATCCTCACGATAAGGGGATATTGGAGGAGTTGATCACCATGAAGCCTACGCATGATACATACTCAAAACATTGGGACGTGGAACATCATACGTCGGATATCCAACATGGTATGGGGAGGATGCGTTTCGCCTGAGACGTCTTCACAACATGGGGATGCTGGAGGAGTTGATGTTCGACGATGGTTCTTCAAAGTGAAACTTTCCCCTGCCCAGTCATCGCACCATTGAGATGTCGGACATCGAGCGTCGGATACGTATCATGTATGGTGTGCGGGTGGGGGGAGCGTTTAGCCTGACACATTCTCACACAACAGGGATGTTGGAGGAGGTGTTTTACGACGCTGTTTCTCACAAGTGAAGCTTTCGCTTGAGCCATCCTCAGGGAATTGAAATGTTGAGTCTGGGCGCTGGATATCGAACATGGTGTGGCGGGGCGTTTCGCTGCAGACATCCTCAGACAAAAAGGGAAGATGCTCTGTGAGGTCCCGAATTCGATGTACATTTAACAGCTCGGCCCTCGCCTGAGACATGCTCACACTTGGAGGCGTGACGAGAGAAGTCTGGCAGCATATTATTTGACTCGATTTCCTTCCTGGGCTCGTGGTTCCCTCGAATTACCCAGGAGTGGCGTTCCCAGGCGCCCCTACAACAACGGCGCTCCCGCTCGACAATCCCGTCCTTTTTGCTCAAAACTGGCGCTCTTGTTCGTCGCCGGAAACCGCCCTCCCAACAACTTCAGGACTCCCGCTTGGTACTTCCTTGGTTTTTGCTCAGGCATAGCGTTCGCGCCTTGGCAGCGCAAACTGGTCCCCTTACAACAATGACGCTCCCGCTCGATATTTCCGCATTTTTTACTCAAGAGTGGAACCCTTGTTTTGACATCACCTCTGGAGGGCTTCTGGGCGGCCCCATGTGGGTTCCGAAAAGGCTTTTTCAGAGGCGCCGCAAGGGTCCCGAAAAGGCGCTAATCATCTTTCGAGGGCGCCCCAAGAGGACGTCGGACGGTCCAAGCTAGCCCCAGGACGGCCAAGAGGCCGCCAACACGGGCCAAAAGGAGACCCCCATCGATCTATATTGAAGATGGTACAACTGCCTCGTAAGAAACGTTGGCAAAACATTCTCGGACGGGAGATCTGGGTAGGAGGAGAGCGGGCCTCCGAAGAATGGAACAACCCCCCCTATGAAAGGGGGAATGGTATCGTGATGAGTGCACGAGATGCGTATCGAAACCTGGAGCGTTCCGGTACGCTGCTTGCCGCTGCTGCTGCTCTGGCTGCCGTGTTATTGGCTGGTGGTGATGCCCCCCCTCCTTGGGAAGGGCACGCCGAGCACCGCCGACCAGCGGCAGCTGCTGCAGAAGTGCCTGCACCTGCTGGAGCCCTCGCGCGAGGAGCACCGTCCGCGGCGCGCCCCCCGCGGCACGGAGGAAGGAGAGGCTCGGGGGGTCAGAGGAACAGGGGGGAGGAGGAGGAGGAGGAGGAGGAGGAGGAGGAGGAGGAGGAGGAGGAGAGGAGGAGGGGAGGAGGAGGAGAAAGGAGGAGGAGAAGGAGGATGGAGGATGGAGGAGGGAGGGAGGAGGAGGGAGGAGGGAGGAGGAGGAGGAGGAGGAGGAGGAGTAGGAGGAGGAGGAGGAGGAGGAGGAGGGAGGAGGAGAGGAGGAGGAGGAGGAGGAGGAGGAGGAGGAGGAGGAGGAGGAGGAGGAGGAGGGAGGAGGAGGAGGAGGAGGAGGAGAGGAGGAGGAGGAGGAGGAGGAGGAGAGGAGGAGGAGGAGGAGGAGGAGGAGGAGGAGGAGGAGGGAGGAGGGGAGGAGGAGCAGAAGGGAGAAGACGAGAGAAAGAGAGAGAGAGAGAGAGAGGGAGAAGCAGGAGGAGAAGGGAGAAGGAGGGGGAGGAGGAGGAGGCGGAGGAGCAAGAGGAGGTGGAAGAGCAGCCGCAGCAGCAGCAGAAGGATGATGCTGCTGATGATGATGATGATGAATGATGATGATGATGATGATGATGATGATGATGATGATGATGATGATGAGGAGGAGGAGGAGGAGGAGGAGGAGGAGGAGGAGGAGGAGGAGGAGGTGGACGAGGACATGACATGCACCGAATCAGCTTGGCGAGCCCTCGCGCGAGGAGCACGCTGCGCTCTACGCGGCCGCCGCGCTGCAGCTGGCGTGCTCGTACATGCGCTCGCCCACGGCCGCGCTCGCCGACGAGGCCTGCTCGCCGTCGACGCCTCCGCCGAAGGAGCCGCCCGCGGCTGCGAGGCCTGGCGGCGCGCGGCAGGGGCTCGGGGATGGCACGAGCAGGGAAGGGCGTGCTTTTGTTTGATCGATTTCGGCACGCGGGGCCTGCGTTCGGGTCCTGGGGCCTTTTCGAGAAGGGGTCCAACACCAGAAGCTACCCGTAGGGAGCACAGGGTTCGCTAGGGACTTGCTTTCCCCGCCCCCACAACGACGCCAACCCTTCCAAATATCTCCCGACCCCCCCCCCTGAAAAGCCTTCTGGAACCCTTCCTGGAGGGTTTTCCGATAGTTTCGAGAGCGTTTCGGTTCGTTTTGAGTGGAAGCCGGTCCCCAGCGAACCCTGGACTTGCTGCTAGAGCTGCCTGCCCCCCAGGGAGCTGCACGCTGGGGCGGGTCGGGGCTCACGCGGCGGGGCTCCGCGCGAAGGGGGGTCAGCCAGTGCGCCGGCCGGAGTTCGGCCGAGCAGGGTGTGGGAGCCGGTCGCGAGGCCCCTCCTTCTGCCCCCCCCCCCTCTGCTAATTGAAGCTGTGCGCGGCCCGCTTAGCTTCGACCGGAAGAGGTGCGCTCTCGACCCGCGGATCAAAAATGTGGGAGCCGGTCACAGCCCCTTCAGGGCGGCCTCACCCGAGCGGGGTTCGGGAAGCCCCTTTTGAAACAAGGGCGCCGCGCATGTTTTGGGAAGTGGCTGAGCTGGGTCTTCGCTGTGGCAGGCCAGTCCACTACCGAGCGGGGATGTCGGGGGGGCAACGATACGGGGGGGATAGACGTAGGAGCGGGTGCATCGACCCTTAATGGCCCATTGATCGCCGACATGGGCCCCAAAGCCCCAGGCCTGCTCAGGAAGGCGCGGACTCACTATCGGAGGCCCGTCGCCGATCTATGGGCGATGTATCACCGATGCAAGGTCGATGCATATCCCCCTGTGCCAGTCCCCCCCTATCGTTGGCCCTCAGGATGATCGCGATGCGAGCGGTTCGACTGCGTCGCCATCGGTTGCGTTCGGTCGGTTCGGTTCGGTCGGTTCGGTTCGGTCGGTTGTGGTGTCATTGCCGCGTCGCTACGCCCTTCTGGGCTGGAGTTGGAGGCTGTGATGTCCCAAACCCCTCCACAGGGGCCAAGGACTACCCGGGGGCCTGACACTCGAGTCGGCGGCCTGTTGACGGGCAACACGTGGGAGGAGATGAGGGGTAAGGGCACGCGCACGGGACCCGTTCGCCTTGTGCACCTCTTCTGGCAGACAGCGGTTAATAGCGCATGGAGGATGGCGGGGAGGAGGATGAAGAGGGAATGATTCCATCGCTATACGCGCGGCCGCACTCGGGGGAGGCACGGGAGGAAGGGGACCCGCAGCAGGAACAGGTCACGATGTTCGGCAGAGCGGCGCTGGTCCGGCAGGAGCTGGCTCCCGTCACAGCCTCGGTGCAGGAGTTGCGCCTGGAGGTCCACGCTTGGGGCACTCGCCTCACCGATTGAGTGACAGTTGTGAGCAAGCGCCTGCAGCCTGTTGAGAGCAGGGTGGGCGTCTCAGAGGTCAGGGTCGAGAAGCCGGAGAACATGCTCAAGTGCTTCGAGTCTTCTCGGCCGGCGGGCGCCACTCCACCTCAAGGCGCCATTCCGCACACGAGCGTGGACAAGAGGCACATGTTGGCAGTGACTGGCAACCTGGATGCGTTGAACAGCATGGCGAAAGCGACCACGTGGCTGACGGACATGCTGATGGTGTTGACGGGTCCGGCCCCAATCAGCACGTCCTCCAAGGGGGAGTTCGCGGAGTTCCCGGGGACCTTGGAGAGGGACACCACGCCGACGTGGACGTCCTCCGGGTGGCAGGCCTTCAGCCAGGCGGAGGCAAGAAACTTGTGGGCGACGGCGGACCGCCCTGCGCCAGAACGTGTTGCAAGGAACTGTTGTTTCCGCCTGGAGCAGCTGTTTAAAGCAAACGAGTGGCGGATACAGTGCCACGTGAAGGTGGCCGACGAGGCTCCGTACCTGCTTTCAGTTGGGTGTGAGCAGGCGGCGACTGCCCACGTTGAGGACAACGCCGTGCGCTACGAGTGGCACGGCGACTGGAGGACGCGGGAGGAGCTGCACAACCTCCAGGCTGTGCAGGACTTCATTCAGAAGAGCATCGACCTACTGTCCCCAGCTGGGGTGGGCATGGAGGGCTCGAAAGGGCAGAAGGGCGGTGCCAAAGGACATTAGGAAACACAACGCATGAACACAGTTTCACCCACAGTTTTACCCAGAGCACATGTAGTTGTCCATGCTTGAGGCTCCCGTTTCTGGTACCAGATCCACACCACGCATTCCAAATATCGTCTGAGGCAGATTTTTTTGTTGGGCGGCGGGCTCGTTGTCATCCGGCCAGAAATTCAAATTTGGGACTTGGAATGTGGACGGGCTTACAGAGACAAAGGTCATTGAGCTCAAGCGTCACGTGGAGCACGAGAACTTTGGCATGCTCTGGATTCAGGAAGCGCGCAAGGCTGAATCCGATTGCGAGATTACAGACGGGGGCTTCTTGCTTGTCCTGTTAGGGACCGCAGTGGACGAAGCGGAGGAAACAGCAGGGGTCGGATTCCTGATCTCCCCGCTGGCACGTCGCAGCCTCGTTGGTTACAGAGAAGCCTCCTCGATAATGGTATTGTTCAAATTGCGGGTCCGCGGGGGGAAAATCATAATTTGCAGCGCCTGCGCGCCCCGCAGCGGGAAGCCACTCGCCGACTGGCAGGGTTTCTTCTCGGAGCTGGCTGGCTTCCTCGACAGCCACTCCGTTCACGGACCGATGTTGCTGCTTGGTGGTTCAAAAGCCAGGTTGCACAGGCGCCGCCCCAGAGAAGAGGACGTGTTGGTGCTGTTCATGTTCGGGAGCCCGCACGCGCAACACAACCCAGCATCCAACAAAACATTTTTCTTCGAACTGCGCGCTTCTCGCATGCTCGCTGTTGGCAACGCAGTTTTCGACGAATCTACAGAGCGTCGGGTTACTTATAATGATATTGGGCGTTCGCCGGCGGACCCCCCTGGACCGCCAAAACTACGGGCAGCTGGACTTCGCGATCGTGTCAATGGAGTGGCTCGGGCGCTTGAAAGTATAACGAGCATCAGACAGATGACGCTCGCCTCGCATCATTATCTCGCGGTTGCGTCCCTGGGCGTGGATGTTCTTCGCAAAGAAAGCGGCCCCCGCAAGCCTAGGCGACTTCTCGGCGAACTTCGAAACGAAATGGTGTCCAGTGCATTATCTAATGCCGTCTGTACTTACATGAGCTCAAGCAGGCGCGAGCACGGGGGCGCAAGCGTCCAGCAGATCACGTCGAGCATGACAGATGCCTTTCAATTTGCTGCAGGATATATTTTCCCGACCAGCGCGAGGAGACCGCGTTGACCGCGGATATCTGACAGACCGCTCGATCTCATAGGCCAGAGAGGCGTAACGTAGGCGCGCGGGGGGACGAAGGCGGGAGGAACGACGCCTGCGCCGAGGACTCCGTCCGGGCAGGCAGACCGTTCACAATGGCTAGGGAGCTAGCTTGAATTCGGGCGCCGGTCCGCGCGCGGATGAAGGGGGCGCCAGCCCAGCGGGGCCAGTTAGCAGATATGGAAGGTCGTCTGGTTGATCCCGACCAATGCGCCGACGCAATGACATAATGCTTTTGCAGAGTCCATTGGGCGTTGCGACCGACAAACGCAGCGTCCCGTGGGGAGCCCGTGGGCGACGAGCGCTCCGCGGGGAACCCGTGGCCCTATCACCGAAGACGAAATCGCCGCGCCAGTTGCTCTTAAGTCGGGCGTGTTCCTTTACAGGAGGAATATCAAAAAGTTGTCAAATGGTATGGGGACGATGTGTTTGAATATTGTTTGCACTGTTGTTGCATCTCTTTAGACTTTTGTATAATTGAAGATCATCCAACATCGGCCTGCAGTAGGACATGCCCGGCCTAAAATTGCCCGGGTGAAACGAAGCAGATCGTGCGGGAAATATAGCATCCCTCCTGAGTTGTGGACGACAATCTGCTCCCGCGCCAGGACGCCTGTGTGCGGGTGGGCCGTCGAGTAGCGCAACGAGTGTTAGGCCAACGCCGAAGTTCTAGCAGATACACACACGCGCACGCACACACACACACACATTCACATACACACACACACACACACGCACACACACACACACGCGCACACCCACACCCACACCCACACCCACACCCACACCCACACCCACACCCACACCCACACGCACACGCACACGCACACGCACACGCACACGCGCAGCACACGCAACGCACACGCACAAGACACGCACCCGCACCACGCCACGACACGGCACGCGCACACGCAGGCACACGTCCGCCGCCATGCACGGGCACAACGCAACGCGCCGGACGCGCACACGGCACGACGCGCCGCCACGCGCACACGCGCACACGCGCACACGCGCACACACACGCACACGACCGCACACGCACACAGCACACGCACACGCACACGCACACGCACACGCACGCGCACACGCACGCGCACACGCACACGCACACGCACATGCACGGGCACACACGCACACGCGCGCACGCGCACACGCGCACGCACGCGCACGCACGCGCACACGCGCACACGCGCACACGCGCACACGCGCACACGCGCACAAGCGCACACGCGCACACGCGTACACGTGCACAGTCGCACACGCGCGCACGCGCACACACGCACATGCGCACACACGCACACGCGCACGCACGCACGCACGCACGCACACACGCACGCACGCACGCACGCACGCTCACACGCACGCGCGCACACGCACACACACACACACACACACACACGCACACACGCACACACGCACACACGCGCACACACACGCACACACGCACTCACGCCACACCACGCACCACACACGCACGCCACGCACCCACGCACGCACGCGCACCCACGCACCCACGCACCCACACACACCCACGCACCCACGCACCCACGAACCCACGAACCCACGAACCCACGAACCCAGGAACCCACGAACCCACGAACCCACGAACCCAGGAACCCACGAACCCACACGCACACGCACACACGCGCACGCACGCGCACGCGCACCGCACCC